TCCCTTTTAAACCTTCGTTTTAGATTTTCACGAACCTTTTGAATATGTCTCCATCTCAAAACAATATTAGTCTTTTCAATTTGATCTAAATCAGGAACATCATTTAATGGAATGTCCTGAAGAAACATTGAGGGGGTCAAGGTTTTCAGCTCTTGTTCCTCAGATATGTAAGTTAATGGTCTGCTGTTCATGATAGATTCGCATTCACATACAAGAGTCTGCAATTCCTCGTAAGACAAACAGGAGCGTCCAAGATTTTTTCTTAAAAGATCTTTCAAAATCCCAATCAAGCGTTCCCAGAAGCCTCCCCACCATGGAGAGGAGGGTGGGTTAAACTTCCAACGAATTTCGTCAACTCTAAATTCACTTTCAATTGTGGTCCAATCTAATTATTTCAGAGCGTTGTTTAGTCCTGTAAAATTAGTACCATTGTCTGAATACATCACACAAGTTCGTCCTCTTCTGGCTATAAACTTACGCATAGCTTGGATGAAGTCATTGGTACTCAGTGAAGGTATTAGCTCAAGATGGACGGCTCTAAATACAGCGCAAGTAAAAAGTACTATCCACACCTTTTGTTTAGATTTAGTCAACAGAGATCCAGCTATATCTACACCTGATACTTGAAAACTGCTGCTACTTCTGTTCGGTCTTTTGGAAGAGGCGGAAAAGGTACCTCAAGATGTTTTACCTTTTGCCTTTTACATGTTAAGCATTCTTTGATAACACTCCAGACAGTTCTTTTCCCTTTCACTATCCAAAATCTTTCCCGTAAAATAGTCAGTAGAGTTAATGTCCCAGCATGCTTGTTAGCAATATGTTCTTGGGCTATAAATCTTCTCACTGCCAGGTGTTTCGATGGTAGAATTATTGGAGAAATAAAATCTTTCGATTCTTCCTCATTTATCAATCTGGACTTCAATCGTAAAATTCCTTCTTCATCTTCAAACCTTTCAAATTCAAGACTTCTCAAATTGTTTCGCGTTTCTTCATTAGAGTAACATTCCTTTTGTATTACACGGAAAATAATCTTTTGTGCATTTAACAATTCTTCATTTTTAAGTTCCTTACATTTTCTTAAATCTTTGGCCTTTGGTTGAAAATGCAGTATCCAAGCCATAACCCTAATCATCTTTGAAAAGCTAGAGAATCTTCTGGCTAACTGTAATGGAATTGACTCTAGCTCTGTGTTACTAGCAGAGATGACTGACTTTCGTTTCTCCATTTCTATTTCTTTCTCGTTAATATTTACAGCTGACTTTGGCCACTGCTCCTTCGAATTCTTCAACCAGGCTGGCCCTTGCCACCACTTGCGTTTCTGAAGTTGCCTAGGTCCACAACCTCTTGATAAAATGTCTGCTGGATTCTGGTCAGTTGAAATATGGAACCAATCTTCCGGAGTTGTCAATTTTCTAATTTCACTTATTCTGTTTGTAACGAATTTCGACCACTGTTCTCAACGAGTTATCCACACAAGAACTGTGGAAGAATCTGTCCAAAAGTAAGTCTTGACGTTGGGAAGTCTCAGAGCATGCTTCACAGAACTAAACAGCCTAGCACCTATGGTAGCGGCCATTAATTCAAGACGTGGTATAGTAATAGTCTTCGTTGGAGTTATTCGTGATTTGGCTTGAAGTAATTGAACAGTCACAGAACCCATTCACTTCTTTCACTTCTTAAGAAAGACATTATCATTATCATCATAATCACTTCTTAAGAAAATGCATGCCGCATAAGCTATCTTACTGGCATCGACAAAAGTATGGATACTTAAATTGGATTCCTTCATCACACCAAACCATCTTGGAATTTTTATATCTTTTAAGCATTTCAGTTGTTTTCACCCATTTTAAAAATTTCTTCTTTATTTCATCATTCACTTCATCATCCATGATTCTTTGCTCTTCTAAGCGGCCTGCAGCAAAATCTTAGGCTCAATCATAACAGGTGCAAGGAAACCTAGGGGATCATCTCGACTAACTAGTGAAAGCATTTTCCTTTTAGTTACCTTTTCTCTTTCATCAAATTTCAAAGATTCAGTGTCTATTTCTAAGGTATCTAAATCTTTGTCCCAAATCAGTCCTAATAGAGGTGATATTGTACTTTCTGAAAATGCAGCAATGCCAGAACTTTTCCATCCTCTGAGATCAAACATTCCTTCTTTCATTACATTAGTTGCAGATTCGATGAATATTTCTAGTTCGGCATTATTTTGTACACTAGTTACGCAATTATCGACATAAAAACTATCTTGTAATTTTTTAAGAAATTCTTCAGAATATTTTTCTTTCCACGATTCTTTGGATAAATGATGGTCAATAACCGCCATCAGCAAAAATGGACTACAAGTAATGCCAAATACCACACGGGTGTGACGAAATGTCTTCATTCTACCATCATCATCATACCAAAGAAATCGTAAAAAATCTCGATCTCTTTCATTTAGAGATATCTGTAAAAAAGCTCTTCTGATGTCTGAAATCACACCAATTTCATGTAAGCGAAATCTTGCTAGAATAGAGGGAATAGTTTCAATCAAATTAATTCCAGTTTCTAAGCAATCATTTAAAGATGGCTGATTAGGAAGCTTTGCCGAAGCATCAAAAACGGGTCTAATTTTCATGGAAGATAGTGAGGACGTTTCCTTAATGACTGGACGATGTGGGAGGTAATGAACAACGGGTAAAGACAACTCCTTTTGGGGAGCTTCTTCAATCACTCCTTCCTGCAGCCATTCATTAAAGACTTCATGATACCTTTCATGCTATCCGATTTTTTTCCAACTTCTTCGTAGTAGATTCGAGTCTTTTCAAAGATAGGTCATAATTGTCAGGTAAGACTGTATGCTCAATCTTCCAAGGCATATCAACCTCGTATCTACCATTTTATAATTGACGAACTGTTTCTTGGAAATGAACCATAATAGCTCTTCTTGACTCTTCTTTAGTTTTTTGTTCAACAGGATCTTGGATACCCAATAATTCTAAATCCCATAGTGATGAAATAGGCAGGTCTTCTTGAGATAACATAGGAACTATAGTCATATTTACATTGTGCTGATGTTCGGATTGAGGTACTTTACCCATCAAAGTCCAACCCAATTTTGTTTCTATAGCCACTAAACCTGTTCTTAGTTCTTCTCGTTTGCCAGTAAATAACTTCCCTGCAACGTCTGCCCCTAACAGTACTTCAATAGGGCCTGGATTCCCTTGGGTATCAGTTAAGCGTATTCTTTTATTTCCTAATTCGCGAATCCAAGAACCGTATTTTATGCTTGAAATATCATTACAAATAACATCATGGTCCACAGCATCTAATTTACACGAATAATTACCATCAAGGCTACTCAAATAAATCTTGTAACATTTATGTTTATAAATTTCAGTTTTCTTTCCACCAAATAAAGAGTGACTAAATTCTTCCTCCCATTGCAAGTCCAAACCCATTTCTTCTGCAGTAGACTTTAAAACATAACTTTTTGAGCTTCTCGTATCCATCATTAATCTAACTTTACGCCTTTTATTCTTACCCTCTATGTTTACAACTAGGGTCTGAAGGAAAACTTCATTCGTAGCACGCGAATGCAAAGAATCGAAAGTTTTCTCTTTTTTTTAATCATTTTCCTGGTTATGCATTTCACTAGACTTATTACATTCAAGACTAGGACAAAAAATTTCAAATGCCTTTTTGAACAGATCTGACACTTAACACTTGATCGACACTGGTTACTGAGGTGACCTTTAACCAAGCATATTCTGCATAAACCTGTCTTTTTTACCGCAGACATTTTTTCATCTAACGGAATATAAAACGCCTTTTTACAGTTACGCGTTTCATGATCTTTTAAACAAAACGAACAAGAAGGTCTTGCTTCCTGATTCATCAAATCTGACGCGGAAGGAATATTTTGGCTAGTTGCCAAGTGCTTACGATCAGACATAGAAAAAATATCCGCTCTGCTTAATTTTATTTTTTCTTCTGACTGAACTTCGCTTTTCAGAAATTTAATTATTGCATCAAGACTCGAAATGTTTCGTTCAGATTCAGTAATTTTTCGTTGTCTTTCAAATGATCGCAATACAGGAATAGCACTTTCCACAAGAGGATATAAAATTCTTCCACACTGATCAGTCGTTACACCAAGACTGCTCAGGGCTCTAAGTTGCGTTGAAAGTTTGTCATACAAACTACTCAAAGAATCCTGCTTCTTTTTCACTGCGTTATACAAAACAAGTTTTATTAACTCTAGAACATAAAAATCAATTAAAAGTTCTTTACGGCCATATATCTCAGTGAGGCTTTCAATAGCCAAAGGATAATTTTCGTTCGTCACAGGAAAAGATTCTATAATATCTCTAGCTTCTGATTTAATTTTTGTTGACTGTATCAAATAATGGAATTTGTCTGCATTCGTTAAGTTATTATTTTCATATATGTGTTTAAACTGATTCCAAAACGTAAGCCAATTTTTTAAATCACCTGCGAACTTATAAAGTTCTACTTTCGGTAGGCGTTGGCACAAAGTTTTACATGTATTTTATCATCAGTAAACTAATTTCTGACTACTCTCTGACGATGTATTTTGGATTTCATTTAATTTACTCTTAATATTATCGAGAAATCGTTCAGATTTTAACTGTATCCTAACAGCCTTTTCTCGATAGTCCTCTAGTATTTCAAATCTATATTCAAATTCTGTATCATCAGTTATAGTATCTAAATAAGCACTGTGCGTCAATTCTAATGTTTCTGCCTTTTTCTTGAACAAATAAAAACACATTTCTGCTTCTTCATAATCAACATTATCATCATTTAAAAGTTCATCTAGTCTTTTATATGCTTTAGTAAAAGCTGAACGTTGCGCAGTTTTGTTTCTTCTCATCACTTCCATTTTGTCTTAAGTTTAAAATATTCAGATAAAAATTAGGCAAGAATAGTATTTTAAACTTCAGTAAAACAATAATCAATAACTTCAAAACGGAAGTATAAGGTCAACTTACCCTATCTATTCTTTCATATGACATGTTTCCAACAAACACGCCCACCCGGGGGCGCCAGAAATGTCGTGAACATTGTGAGTTTAAGAGAAAATAATGAGCGGTTTGTTAAAATTTAGATCAGATGAAAGATCTTTTAATATATAGCATTTTAATACTATTTAGCACAGTGTAATAGGTTCATTTTATAATACGCAACATCCACCAAAATGATCGTGACAACGCAGTTCGATCATCATCTTTTTTAGAACAACAATCTCTTTTGTTGCCATTCCGTAACAGAGAAACTTACCTCTCATGGAGTTTGATAGTGGCGCGACATTTGGTATGAATAATTAGAAATATTTAATATTTTTATAAATGAATCAAACTAGGGTCATTAAAATCAACGCGTATTTTGTCTTTCTATAATCAGTACTTTAGCCAATTAAAAACAAGCAGTGGTAACAAACACTGTAGGGAATAAAACATTTTATCTCCAGCGTGTATGACTCTATATCGGAAATTCTAAAGGTATGCTGTTTTTAAATATTTTTTAGCAGAATGTGGCATTAGCCCAAATAATCTCGAAACGTTATGTGTCTGTAAATGGGTAAAAAAAGAAACATCTGTTTGGGCGTAATATAAAATCTGAAAGCTTTCAGACTTTTTATTTTTTATTTATATTTATTTTCATGCGGGAAAATGAGGAATGCCACCATCACCCCCACCAAAAAAAAAAAAAAAAAAAAAAAAAAAAAAAAAATACGTGAGGATACGTTAGAACTGTCATTGTTAAAACCTCCTTCAGTTTGTAAAATGCATCCTAACATTCATTTGTCCACAAGAACTTTTGTTTACTCTCTGTCAGTTTGTGAAGGGATCTTGCGACGGAAGAAAAGTCCTTCACAAATCTCCTATACTAGGTGCAAAACCCAGGGAACTTCTCAGCTTGATGGGCATTTTCGGGGCGTCTCCGATCTTTAACTGCCGACTCTTTTTCTGGATCCGTACAATATTTATAAGATATTCTGAAATGATATCTTACGCAACTTAAGAAGAAAATTTTTTCTTAGTAAATTAGTAATGTAGTACCTATCTATAGTAATGCACTGTACGATACTGTATTCTACTGTATTATTTCTTGCTTATATTTATTTTAAAAAAATTTCTTTGCTTCACTAATTATTTTTCCTATTAATTTGCTATTTTTTTAATTTGCTGAAAATTATAAGATAGTGATAAATGGAATTATCCTTTATGAGAAGTTATTAAATGGGATTTAAAACTAAAAAGAGGGAATTATCTTTGCAAGCACGGTAACTTTGTTCAAAAACATTTATTTATGGTTTGATAACATACATTTACTGTTAGTTATATTTACTGTTAGTTACATTTACATATAGTGGACCTTCCCAGAGAAGATCTTCCATGATTTTAGATGTCTGGTTTAAAGGAAATGATTCTCATTGATGATCAGTAGTAACGATTACTATTCTTAGAAAAATTGGCCTTGGTTGCCAAGAGAGACATACAGTTAAAACGTTTTACACCATCACCAAGATAGCATGCATTTACGTCTAACGTGACACCTTTTTTAAAAAAAAATTTCTTTTAGATTATTAATATAACTAATATTTAATTACTAAAATAACTCAAAATATTTTAGTTAGTTAAGTTCAAAAGGATTCAACAAATGAAATTTCTCTTTGACTAGCGGTCAAAGAGAAATTTTGAGGTCAAAGATAAACAGGTATATAATTCCTGTTTATCTTGCCGCTAGTCAAAGAGAAATTTCACTTATTGAATCCTTTTGAACTTACTATGCTATATTACTGTTTATTACATTATTACTTTCCGTTATAGCAAAATAGCTCAGTATATTCAGGCATTGCGTATCCGGCAGACTTCCATATGGTACAAAACAAAACAAGAACATAAATTTCGTTATTCCTTTGCAAATTTCTCTTCCTGGATTATACTCCCTTTTTTAGAGTTTTAAAGAATGAAATCTAGTTTCCCCTCCCCCTCAGATCTAGCTTTTTCTTAGAATTTCTTAGTACTGAGTATCTGGATATTCCTGTTTTTACTTTTTTTTAACAGAATGTTACAATTACATTAACTTCAGAACAGACTGACTTTTCAATTTGATAAAGCTAGAAAGATTTTTCTGCTTGTTTGCATTGTTAACTCGGTAACGCAGATTTGATTCAGTTACATTCTTTCAAGTGTTCAAATTCTATAAATCTCTTTATGGCGTTTGTACTGTAAAATTATGCAACAGAAAAAGTCAAGAGCATCATAATTAAAAGATAAAGCACATACAGTTACTGCTTATGACAGTTATGCTTAACATCATTAAAAGTGCATATTTTTCGTAAGGCATGTTGTACAAAGAATCTCTTTAAATCCTGCTGCTAAAATTGCTTTAAATTCAATGTAAATTGGCGAGAACAAAAGAATTCGCGCATTGAATTTCAATGAATTGGTGGCGACATTAATCGAATACAGTGGTAACTCGATTACGTACGCTTTGAAATGCGTCTAAGTATATGTTCTGTTCGAAAGAGAAAATTTTTTTTCGGAATAAGACTTCAATTCGTTGAGTCACGACTGGGCGCATTACCCTTGTTTATTCTCCTTCGAGATAACACTGCAACTGTCCTTGTGCCTATCGATATGCCTCTTGGTACTAGTTAGTAAACAGCAAACGATATAATTCTGAATATTAATTTCCTCACGTAATTTAGAAAATTATGCGTAGAGCCAAGAAACGAAGGAAATGGTTAGAATCACATCCCAATGGAAGTGAAAAGAATATTATTGAAAAATATGAAGATTTCATGCACATTTGGTATTTTACTATTCCATACTGTATACTCAGAACGACGGTATCCATGTTTGTAAAATAACAAGATGAAAATAAATAGGTTAACTTTACGAAGGGGGTAAATCAATTGCCAAATACAAACCAGAGACATTAGAAAATTTTGAGAATTGCTTTTGGTATAGATAATAGAAAAACTTTTATGTACAATGTTACGTACAGCATTTTATTCACGTACAGGAAATATTTCCCCCAGTGCAATTTAGTATTAAACTGTCTTATAATAATAAGAATAGGATTTTTTTAGAAGAACGGATTAATTATTTTCCCTCAATTTCTTATTGGATAAGTTTAGATATATAGATTGGTTTACGCTCAAGATCTGGAACCGAGATACCAGTGTAGTGTGACCAATGGGAAAAAAGAATTTTGAAAAGTTTTCAAATTTTATATTATGCCCAAAGGGGCTTTCTTTTCACGTATTGTGTGCTGCCTTTATTTATTAAATATCACATATTCTCCGCACCTGGAGATAATGTTTTTTTCCCCGCACAGTGTTGCCATTGCTCGCTTTTAAATCGTTGAGTTTCTTAATCAAAAACTCATAAATGCTTTACAAAATATGAAATAGATAATAAAACAAATTCCACATTTCGGATTCCCAGATGCCCATATTCGGGTGGAGACATGCGTTACTGAAAATTTGATGACTCTGAAAAGTTTCAATCTAAAAATAAGGTACCGTTCATTTATCACAATGCGAGAAACATATATGCATTTATGCAGATTCTTTATTACTTAATTTCTTTAAATGTAATACAGGGCAATAATATTTGGTAGCAACAATTTGAAAAGTGAAACGCCACAAAAAGCCAAAACGAAACTAATAGCCCATCTGGGTTAATGCTCTTTGGGCTAAAAACTGCAGCTTTCCAGTTTTTGAAAGCTTTTTAGAAGCAATTCACATTACCAAAATCGAATCGATGGGTATTTTAAAATAAAGGAAATATTCTAAGAATATTATTATATAAATAATAACATATATTTTTTATATTAATAATTACATTTATTACAAATACATATATTAATTATATTATTAATTACATTAAAAATATTAATAATAACATATATTTTTTCCATTAACTTAATTCTTTAATTAAAAGAGAAAAACTTAAAGACAAACTTATATATTTTTAACTTTGCACTTCGTTTAACACGTCAATTTTTAATCAGTTTTCAGAATGACACACTGCGGAAAATTTGGTGTTTATTTATATTATCAGCAAAACTGTTACTTACTGAAAAGTTGTATTATAAAATCTGCAAAATATCATACTATACTGGAAGGTTTTTTGAGAAGATTTACTTTTAAAAGAATAGTAATAATAATAATGATATTAAAAAATAACAAACAATAAAAAACCTTATTATCGTTTTCAATTTTTTTTACCTAATATTCAATTAAAGTAGCACTCTACACTCCTACTGGGCTTTGTTTATTTCATAAATATCCAAAACGAATAAGATCACTGCTTTTTCAAAACGAAATATGTTTTCTGTCAAGAAACAGATATTCTCTTTACAATTAGAATTTTTGCCTTAAAATAATACACCGTAACTATATTCGTTCTTTGAAGATTTATATCCATTGATTTCTAAAATCCTGGAAAATGCTACGCCTGCCTAGCAACCGTGTGGAAACAAGAATTACTGCTTAAAGTAAGATAGATACGACTCTTAGGTCATTAACCTTATTATATACAATATTATCATAAAGTAAAATCTTCCTAAATATATCAGAAAGCTGCATTATTCACTTACCAACTGAACTGAACAGCAGAGCATCGCATATTTCAAACTCTTAGTAGCGTTCGAAAGAGCTCCGATTTATATTATTTATACCCAAACAACAACAAACTGTCTAAGTGGAGATACAAATGTTTCGTGTGCTACGAGTTCTACGCAGGCGCACGTTTCGATCAGCTTAATTATTCATCTTTTTTTTTGTGTGTGTGTGTTTTTAAACTGTTCATTTGCAAATGCCCTAATGTTTGGTTGTTGTTTTTCGGCAGATTGATCTCGATTCCATTATGTCTGTAACCTTGAAAGATTTCCGTTAAAAGTTTGTAATTTAGAGTATTTTGCAGATTTCAATTTTGATAGAATAAACAATAGTGAGATAAAAGATCCATTTTTATTCAACTTTCATTTGGGTAAGAAGTGAAGAGAGAAAGACAAACTACCATTGTTAAAGAAAATAAAGAATTATCAACATAAATTCGAGGAAAAGGGAAGATGGAATGAAGCAGTATCAAGAGGTGTTAAATCTGGCATCTCCAAGTTCTATGACAGTTCATACTATATAGCAATCAGAA